TCAAAGTGTAGTCGTCACACAGGCAAATCAGCCCACCTTAGGGCAGTCATCCTGTTAAATAAATCTTACTTGGTTGATCAAATGAATTTTAATGGATCGATTAAGCCTGCATGGATTTGCACCCTAATGCAGAAACAGGATTTTAATTTTTAAAGTAGTTTCTTTTTAAATGATCGTGTGTTGCAGCAGGTACAGATTGGAAGAGGAATTCCACACAAAGGGGGGGGCGTGTTGGCAGAAGGATGATGTGAGGGGAATAATAGAATCATAGAACCCCAAGAGTCATTTGTTTCAACCTCTTGCAATGCAGGAATCTCAGTACAAAAATGGCATGAATATCTCTCCATCCATCGCAACTTGCATGAAGTTTAAAACTCAGCCTTTCCCACCTCAAATTTACGTTACTTTGTGTCTGCTGCCACCTGGTGGCTCTTGAGGCAATTTCATTAAAGATCACTTTGTTATGCAGACTGCTGCATAAGTCAGGAGGAGTCCACTGCAAGATTTGCAAGATTTGTTGTTGTTTAGTCGTGTCCGCCTCTTCGTGACCCCATGGACCAGAGCACGCCAGGCACTCCTGTCTTCCACGGCCTCCCGCAGCTTGGTCAAACTCATTCTGGTAGCTTCGAGAACACTGTCCAACTATCTCGTCCTCTGTCGTCCCCTTCTCCTTGTGCCCTCCATCTTTCCCAGCATCAGGGTCTTTTCCAGGGAGTCTTCTCTTCTCATGAGGTGGCCAAAGTATTGGAGCCTCAGCTTCAGGATCTGTCCTTCCAGGGAGCACTCAGGGCTGATTTCCTTCATAATGGATAGGTTTGATCTTCTGGCAGTCCATAAAAGGTAAAGGGACCCCTGACCATTTGGTCCAGTCGTGGCCAACTCTGGGGTTGTGGCGCTCATACAGCTTCCGGGTCACGTGGCCAGCATGACTAAGCCACTTCTGGTGAACTTGAGCAGCGCACGGAAACGCCATTTACCTTCCTGCCGGTGTGGTACCTATTTATCTACTTGCACTTTGTGCTTTTGAACTGCTAGGTTGGCAGGAGCAGGGACCGAGCAACGGGAGCTCACCCCGTTGTGGGGATTCGAACTGCCAACCTTCTGATTGGCAAGCCCTAGGCTCTGTGGTTTAACCCCCAGCGCCACCCACGTCCCACTGGCAGTCCATATCAACCTCCAATTTTCTAAGATGAAGCCGAGCCATCTCCCCTCAGCAGGGTTTGCCAGGGATTTGAACCCGTGACCTCTGGTGCCTCTTTTCCCCTCATATAGCCCCTGAGACATGGTGTGGTTGTCAGTGGCGTAGCGTGGGGGGTGCAGGGGGGGCCGGCCGCACCGGGCGCAACATCTGGGGTTAGGGCAAATCCACAGGTTAGGGGGCGCAAATCCACGGGTTAGGGGGCGCAAATTACTTGCCTTGCCCGGGTGCTGACAACCCACGCTACGCCACTGGTGGTTGTTGACTTTGGAGAGAACTACAGTACACTAAAAACTGGTGCTTTTCTAAGAACATAAGAGCTTTGCTGGATCAGGCCAATGGCCCACCTACTTCAGCATCCTGTTCCCACAGTGGCCAACCAAATGCCTATGGGGAAAACCATAATCAGGCCCTGAGCACAAGCTCCCTCTTCTCTCCTGCCCTTTCCAGCCTAGCCTAAATTGGGCTTCAAATTGTGTCCATTTGAGATCACCTGGGTGAGGGCCTATCTCAGATTGATTTATTCAGTGGCTATCTTTGCCTATTCTGTGTCTGAGTGCTTCTAAGCTCGCCAGCTGCTTGCAGAGTGGAAAGCCTGCAGAGATTTTATACCAAATCACTGCTTCCCAGGCTCAGAGAATCCTTGCAGTTTCAATTCGGCGATGGTGCCAATAACTCTGTAACAGGCCTCCAGCTCTCCTTAGGTAAAGGTAAAGGGACCCCTGACCATTAGGTCCAGTCGTGACCAGCCCTGGGGTTGCGGCGCTCATCTCGCTTTATTGGCCGAGGGAGCCGGCGTACAGCTTCCGGGTCATGTGGCCAGCATGACTAAGCCCCTTCTGGTGAACCAGAGCAGCGCACGGAAACACCGTTTACCTTCCCGCCGGAGTGGTACCTATTTATCTATTTGCACTTTGACGTGCTTTCAAACTGCTAGGTTGGCAGGAGCAGGGACCGAGCAACGGGAGCTCACCCCGTCGCGGGGATTTGAACCGCCAACCTTCTGATCGGCAAGTCCTAGGCTCTGTGGTTTAACCCACAGCGCCACCCGCGTCCCTCCAGCTCTCCTTACAGAACTTTAAATCCAGGATTCCTTGGCCTGGGGAGAGATAGTATTAAAATTGTGTCTAGCACAGGAGGTGTGCCCTTTCATAACAATGCTCTCACAGGCATGGCAGCCTCCCTTTCTTAAGGACAGTTTCTTTTTAAATGGCCTCAAGTTACCACCTTATCTCACTAACCTTTATCCTATGCATTCAAAAGCTGTCTCATTAACTGTTGCTTTTTCTGCATCTCCATCACTGAAGTGACCTCCCTGGGCTGCAAGCCAGGGCAGTGTATATGGAGGTCCTGGGATGCCCAGATAACAAGGCCCCACTCTTGGTCTTGCTGCTGTGGTTCAAAGGAAAGGAAAGAAACATGTTTGCCTGCAGGAGTTGCTAGAAGGAGGCGTACAAGGCAACCTCTGACCCTTTTAGGGACTCCCTTCCTCATTTGTGTAGGGTTTACTCCTTAGCCGTTTCTTCTCCCAAAGATGTCCCACAAGCCAGCAGGTATGAATTTTTCCTCGGGGGTTCACAAATGAGTTTTGTTGTTGTTGTTTAGTCGTTTAGTCGTGTCCGACTCTCCGTGACCCCCTGGACCAGAGCACGCCAGGCACTCCTGTCTTCCACTGCCTCCCGCAGTTTGGTCAAACTCATGCTGGTAGCTTCGAGAACACTGTCCAAGCATCTCGTCCTCTGTCGTCCCCTTCTCCTTGTGCCCTCCATCTTTCCCAACATCAGGGTCTTTTCCAGGGAGTCTTCTCTTCTCATGAGGTGGCCAAAATATTGGAGTCTCAGCTTCAGGATCTGTCCTTCCAGTTAAGATCAGAGTTTTCCATCTCCTAGATCAGGGGTAGGCAACCTAAGGCCCGGGGGCCGGATGTGGCCCAATTGCCTTCTAAATCCGGCCCGCGGATGGTCTGGGAATCAGCATGTTTTTACATGAGTAGAATGTGTCCTTTTACCGGTATTTAAAATGCGTTCCTGGGTTATTTGTGGGGCCTGCCTGGTGTTTTTACATGAGTAGAATGTGTGCTTTTATTTAAAATGTGTCTCTGAGTTATTTGTGCGGCACAGGAATTCGTTCATCATTTTTTTCAAAATATAGTCCAGCCCACCGCATGGTCTGAGGAACGGTGGACCAGCCCATGGCTGAAAAAGGTTGCTGACCCCTGTCCTAACTCATGGAGGGTTTGAGACCCATCGGCTACCCTCACCTGGTTTAGCCAGCGGGTCAAAGCCATTCCCAGAGTGTGACTACTGTTGCACACTTACTGATGTACATAATTTCAGCAAGCGAAGCCGCACCCCACCCCAGCACACAAATGAAGTGCAGGCGAAAGCTTCACCTGACAGGTATCTGTCTGGTTAGGTGTTGTTGAAGGTGCAGGATGGAAGGGAGCAGGCAGAGGAACAGTCCTCAGCAATCCTAATACAGTCGTACCTCGGGTTCAGGTTACAGATGCTTCAGGTTACAGACGCTTCAGGTTACAGAGTCCGCTAACCCAGAAATAGCACCTCAGGTTAAGAACTTTGCTTCAGGATGAGAACAGAAATCGTGCTCCGGCGGCAGTGGGAGGCCCCATTAGCTAAAGTGGTGCTTCAGGTTAAGAACAGTTTCAGGTTAAGAACGGACCTCTGGAACAAATTAAGTACATAACCCAAGGTACCACTGTAGTGCCGTTTGAATGCATGCTTATACAGAAGTCCAACTGCATTCAGTGGGGCTTACTCCCAGGTAAATGTGCAAAGGGTGGCAGCAACTCTGCATGTGTTTACTCAGAGGTAAACCTTACCAAGTGCCTTTGTAAGCATGTTTGGAATTGCAGCCTGCAGCTGCCATCTTATACAGACATCCCAGAGACTAAATAACATCGAATTCAACGGGGCTGACTTCCGAGTAGTCATACATAGGCTTGCACGACAAATCTATTTCAAAATGTTTGTTCATTCGTTTATTTTATATAACTTATACACTGCTTGATTTCAAAACAAACAAACAAAAAACCCAAAGCGGTTTACAAAACAGAACAAAACAGTAAAATTATCAATAAGGAAAACTAACAATATTTTTATTACATATTTTGTGTTTTTCCCCCCTAATCTTTAATATTGTGTGTGTGAAGCACCCTGAGATCCACGAATGGATGGCGATATACAAAATAAATTTATAGAATAATTTAAAACTTTCCCCCAAAAATTAAAACAGTAGACTAAAAACGGATTAAAACTCGCGTCAACTTTCTAAACATCTGCCAAACAAAAGCGTTCCTTCCAGGCTCCATGAAGCCTCCAGGAACAAAATCACAACTTTAAAAAAAACCAAAAAAAACCACAATCAGCCATGCACATTTGGCCGCTCAGCTCTCCGTAAAATATATTTTTTGAAACCCTCACCGCATCCCCCCCCCGCCCCCATTACAAGGCGTTGGTCGCCGCTTGCGCCTCTCGGCATCTGCACTACAAACACAAACCGGTTCCAAAACTAGTTCAGCTAGTCCGGGTCCGCGCTCTCCCAGGGAACTCTGGGAGTTGTAGTTCCGGCGGGGAACAGAGAGACTCCGGCGAAGAGAGGCGCCGCCTCTGGCCAAACTACAGTACCCGGGCTGCCTTGCAAGGGAAGCCACGACAGCTCCGAGTGCCTGGGTCTTCTTTTTTTTCCATGTTTCCCCCTCTCGGTGCCGCGAAGTGTGTGGACGTGCTGGCGAGGCTCCTCCGCCTCCTTTCCTCGGAAGGAGCAGCCGGAGCCATTGCAGCCGCGGGCGGCAAGGCTGCCTCCTCCTCCTCCTCCTCGCGTTGCAAACGCGCTCCAGGACCGCGGAGCCTTTGCAGACGCGTCACTTTTGCAGAAACCAAACACCCAGCAGGTAGGGGGATAAAAAAGGGAAAGGTGCGTCTCTAGGACCTGGCCGGAGTTGGGCGAAGTGTGAGTCATTCTGGAAGGTCGGGGTGGCCCTGGAAGTGCATCAGAGTTTGGGGTGCGAGTGGACCCCCCCCAACTCCCGTGATCGCGCGTTCTCACGTGCTTTTTCACGTTCCTGCTTCTCTTGCAGATCTTGGGGTTTGGGAGTGGGTGGGTGGGTGCGGTGGATCGGGCGAGGAAACAGCAGCAAGTCCTCTGGACTTTGCAGAAAGAGAAATCCCACCCCCACCCCCAATAATGATTGCTAGAAATCCAGAGACCCAGAATCACAAGAAGTGGAGAAGGCGATTAGGAAGCTGAGATCCCCCCCTTCCTGCTAAGAACGACTTGTTCTTAGGCTGGGGAAAGTAGGGTGGTGGTCTGACCTGATGGACGTTTTCCCTGGGGCTGTGTAAGCCGGTGGTGGAGTTGGTGAAGTTCTGCTTGTGAAATAAGCGCAGCATGATGGAACTCAGTGGAACTTGTTTCTGAGAGGACAGCAATAAACTGGTGGGAGGCTTTGGGGTGTGTGTTGTTGTTCCTGTTTATGCCTGCATAAATCCACCCGGATGAGGAAGAGAAGGTTGAGAAGTCCCGGGCAAGAAGTGAGGTGCTTCTACCCCTGGTTTCTCCAAATTCCCTAAAGAAAATTGAGATCAGTACTGCCACTCTGTCCCCTTTCCTCACTGAAACTCCAATGTCTTTTTCGTTTTTAGTCCTGGGATCCAAAGTTGATAGCCTGACCTCTGCCTCCCTCTGTGTGTGGCCTCAGCTGCACTATATTATTATTATTATTATTATTATTATTATTAATTAACTTATCTGTCCTTCACCCCATGGTCCCAGGGTGGGTTTCATTGTTAAAGCGCAATAGTAAAAACTTACAGTCAAGAGGGGTGCTAAAAATATACACCTCTAGTGTCAAAAGCTAGGATAAAGAGGTGTGTCTTCACAGCACTTTAAACAATCATGGCTTCCTCCCTTCTCCCCAAGAATTATGGGAGCTGTAGTTTGTTAAGGGTGCTGGAAGTGGTTAGGAGAACCCTGTCCGCCTCTTAGAGCTACAATTTCCAGAGTGGTTTAACAATCAGTTCTTCTTCCTAAGAACGTCTGTGAGCTTTAGCTCTGTGAGGAGAATAGGGGTCTCCTCTAACAGCTCTCAGCACCCGTAACAAGCTACAGCTCCCAGGATTTTTTAGGGGAAGCCATGACAGTTTTGTCTGGTATGATACTTCTTTATTAATATTGTTATTATTTATATACCACCCTTCATCCAAAGATCTCAGGATGATTCACAAGATAATGTATAGGGCCTGAGTTCTGATTTTTATTTTTAGCACGTCACTACTTTAATTATGGGGACACGGGTGGCACTGTGGGTTAAACCACAGAGCCTAGGACTTGCCGATCAGAAGGTCGGCGGTTCAAATCCCCATGACGGGGTGAGCTCCCGTTGCTCGGTCCCTGCTCCTGCCAACCTAGCAGTTCGAAAGCACGTCAAAGTGCAAGTAGATAAATAGGTACCGCTCCGGCGGGAAGGTAAACAGCGTTTCCATGCACTGCTGTGGTTCGCCAGAAGCGGCTTAGTCATGCTGGCCACATGACCCGGAAGCTGTACGCCGGCTCCCTCGGCCAGTAAAGCGAGATGAGCTCCGCAACCCCAGAGTCGGCCACGACTGGACCTAATGGTCAGGGGTCCCTTTACCTTTACTTTAATTATTTACTTTTAAGAGAGAGTTGCTGGTGGCATGAAAGAGGCAGTGTTGTCCTGATGTGTGTGCATGCATTGTTGGTTTCTTTTGCCCCACCATAGAGCCAAATGGTTTTGAAGAGCCAGAAGCTGTCAAAAAACCTGCAGTGCTATATGATCAGAGATGGTGGTGGAATAAGTGTGAACAGACACAACTGTCATGCTATGGGAGCCAACCCTGTTATGCCCCCAGCCTTGTGGAGGGGGGAACCCTCTCATTTAGACTGAGTCTGAAATTATTGTTCTGCAGTAGACAGACCGCAGATACGTTATGCTGCATTTGCTACTCTGATTTCCTTCTGTCTCGGGACAGTTTCCCAAGCGGTGGCTCTTATTTTTAAACAAATCAACAAGGCGTTTGGAATCTGGTTTCAGCCACCTTCCTTACTAGGCAGACACGACTTGCCCACCATACTCCAAAAAGCATCAGGCAAGATTCCTGGCTGGGCTTCCAGTTAAGATCTCACCTGTTTCAAAGCAGCTGGACTGGTTGCCGGTTCATTTTCAGGCCCGATTTAAGGTGATCAAAATAGTGTTTAAAGCCCTATATGCCTTAGTCTGGGAGAGGGCATTCTTGGTCGCAACCTCTAAGTCAGGCATAGGCAAACTCCGGCCCTCCAGATGTTTGGGACTACAATTCCCATCATCCCTAGCTAACAGGACCAGTGGTCAGGGATGATGGGAATTGTAGTCCCAAACACCTGGAGGGCCGGAGTTTGCCTATGCCTGCTCTAAGTTGTAGGGGTCTCTCCCCACAAAGTGGCACCTCTACCCTTGCTTTTGAGGTGTACATTTTTAGCGCCTGCCTTATTTTTGTGACTATAAAACTGTTTTTAATATTGCAGTTTGGTGTTGCAATTCCCCAAGACCTTAGGGTGAAGGGTGGGCAAGGAATAATAATACCAACCACAGCGACAGGCTCCCAGCACAGAAAATAACCTCTTCTGAAATTCAGAGGTGGCATCTTAGAGCCATCGTTGTTGCTCAACGTATACGTGCGGTCTCTTTCCCCAACCCCACCAGCTGGGATCTCTGTTCAAACTGGTTGTGCAGGTTTTAATGGTGCTTTTGAGGAGGAAAAAACCACCCTGAAATTGCTGGGGTCGGGTGTCCCGGAAGGCTCAGAGCAGCTTCCGAAACCTGGTGGCCCTCTCAGGGCTGCTGTAGTTGCATCCCTGTATTGCAGATCCTGTATGGAGCAGCGGGGTTGGGCTAGAAGACCTCTTAGGATCCCCTTCCACAGGAAAATTGCTGGAAGCGAGACAAGAACTTGGTTGTTTCTCTCCAACAAGAGCAGTAACAGGAAATGCCTGACTTCACCCAGACACAACTAAGTCCTGTGCCACCTAATGACTGCCAAACTACATAATGGCACATTATTAGCACATCAGGCAAATTAAGTGGCTCTTGGCAGCGCTTTCGGTTTCTGCCTTTGGCATGGTAGCCTGAATTATATATATATATATATACAGCATATGAGTGTTTGTGTGACTGGCAGGCCGATGAGTCTAGCGGAGGGTAGGCTGGATGCCCAACTCCCAATTTCTGAGCTTGGGCTTCAGCCACAATGACACTGGATCTATTTGCCAGGTTGTTGGGGCTACATTTTGGCTCCGGCGGGGCTAGAACTTGGCCTTCGTGGGCCAACTTTGACAAGTGGGCGGGATCTGTCACCTGATGCCACATCTGGGGATCATTGCATCTGGACTGTTTTCACACACTAATGCCCCATCCTGTAGAAATCTATCAGTTATATTTTATTTGCACAATCGGAATGAATTTCTGGAGCCAAGATGATTTTTCTGTGCAGCCTGAGAAGGAGCAGTCACTCTTAAGAAAAAGAGGTTAGAATAGGCCAATACAGTGGTACCTTGGGTTACATATGCTTCAGGTTACAGACTCCGCTAACCCAGAAATAGTGCTTCAGGTTAAGAACTTTGCTTCAGGATAAGAACAGAAATCGTGCTCCGGTGGCACGGCGGCAGCAGGAGGCCCCATTAGCTAAAGTGGTGTTTCAGGTTAAGAACGGACCTCCGGAACGAATTAAGTACTTAACCTGAAGTACCACTGTGTATATGTTGACTGTCCCTGGATCAAGTGACTTTTCTTCTCAAAGTTCAAGGTTGTCATCTGAACTTGCCAGATGTTTAACTGATAATCAGCCACGGTCAGTCCAGGAGAAGATGGCAAGTGTGGCAGGAAGATTCAAGGACAATCAATATTATATTTTGGGAATGATTCACGTTCTTATGTAGCTGCATCATTTTATACTTTCTGGTTGCCCCATGATCATATTATAAAGCAGTTGTCTTCTATGTTATAAGTCAAATGCTGCTAGAAGTTGTTGCATTCCCCCCCCCCCCCCATCAATAAAATATTTTGTGGTATATGCAAGCAATTTTTTATTCTCAAAGTGTGGCTCAGAGAAGAAAGTTTGGGAACCGCTGGTCTAAAGCAACTAATATAAACAATTTGATAAACATCAGTAGTTTAAAATGGCACCAATTCACAGACAGGTACTCCAGGTATAACAGAATGAGCTAACCAGAGCCAAAGGCTCCAGAAAAAAAGGACAAATTTTAAAGAGAGATTTGAACATATGGCGTGAGGGGGCAACTCACCACTGCTTCCTGGAAGGTGATTCCAAGCATATGGAGCAGGAAAATGAAAAGAACCAAGACACGCTAGAGAACAAGAAATTCTTGAATGAGTTAGAAGCACAGAATCAGAAAAAACAACAACAGAGAGGGTGACCAGGCTTTGGCTTCAACCATGTTGCAGCATTAGGTGAAAGGTAAAGGACCCCTGACAGTTAAGTCCAGTTGTGAATGACTCTGGGGTTGCGGTGCTTTACTGGCCAAGGGAGTCGACGTTTGTCCGCAGACAGTTTTTCCGGGTCATGTGGCCAGCATGACTAAGCTGCTTCTGGCGAAACCAGAGCAGCGCACGGAAACACCGTTTACCTTCCCGCCAGAGTGGTACCTATTTATCTACTTGCACTTCGTGCTTTCGAACTGCTAGGTTGGCAGGAGCAGGGACTGAGCAACGGGAGCTCACCCCGTCGCGGGGATTCAAACCGCTGAGCCTCCGATTGGCAAGCCCTAGGCTCTGTGGTTTAGACCACAGCGCCACGTGCATCCTACTGTTGCAGTATTGGGTCTCCCAAATGATTCACCGTTTCCTCTTCTTTCCCCCTACATGTCACAGTTCCTTGGTCGAAACCGTGGGAGGAGACATTTGGCCCCGTGTATTTTTCTGGATGGTGGTGACTCTTGAGCCCAACAGTGGTGGGACTTCACCAGGGAGCCGTTTTGGACCAGAACCAAAGAGCCCTGCGCTGGGGTTGTTGTCATGCAGAACAACTTTGCAACGATGGCCTTGCTGGGTAAGAACCCCAAATCCTGCCCCATCCCTCCCTCCCTGCCCCCCCAACCTTCCATCCAGTAATGATGGAATTCATTTTGTTGTGGCCTGGGGTGAAGCAATGGAGAACATCTCCCTAGCCAATGATGGGTGGAACGGCCAACTGACCTGGGCCTTGCTGCTCTTCTGCTCCTTCCTGCGCAGGGTTGCCTGCTGACGAGCCAGAGCTGATCTGCAAGATTGAGTCTGAGGAAGAGCAGTGGATCCCAAGCGAGCAAGTCGCGAGAGGGAGGCGGATCCTGCCTGGAAGCAAATTAGGTGAGGGGCCAACTCCACCTGGAAGGGCTAGCGCGTGCCTTCTGACCAGGAAGTCTATTCTCTCTCTCTATAGTTTTTATTATTAGGGATGCGGGTGGCGCTGTGGGTAAAACCTCAGCGCCTAGGACTTGCCGATCGCATGGTCGGCGGTTCGAATCCCCGCGGCGGGGTGCGCTCCTGTCGTTCGGTCCCAGCACCTGCCCACCTAGCAGTTCAAAAGCATCCCCGGGTGCAAGTAAATAAATAGGAACCGCTTACCAGCGGGAAGGTAAACGGCGTTCCGTGTGCTGTGCTGGCTCGCCAGATGCAGCTTGTCACGCTGGCCACGTGACCCGGAAGTGTCTGCGGACAGCGCTGGCTCCCGGCCTGTAGAGTGAGATGAGCGCACAACCCTAGAGTCTGGCAAGACGGGCCCGTACGGGCAGGGGTACGTTTACCTTTACCTTTATAGTTTTTATTAAACTTTCTGTTTTACAATTTAGAATACTAATTTATGCAACCTTAAAATGTCAGTGGCTTCCCTTCTTCTCTTTCCATAGTTCATTTTGCATATCATAAATCCCTGCATATTTTACATAAACTAAACCATTCAGTATTCCATTATTACATCCACCAAAACTTGTTTACACGGTTGAATTTATCTTAATGCTGCCAACGTTTTCAAATGTACACATTTTCCAATCTTTAAACGTATGTCCTCCTTGCTCTCTTATGTTAGGTCTGCAAGCTGCACATATTCCATCAGTTTAAGTTGTCATTCTTCTTTAGTTGGGACTTTGCTCAATTTGCATTTTTGGGTTAACGAAACACAATAGTGGCAAACATTAATAACCTTTTTTGACACCTGGGAATTTCCCTCTGAATTTTCCCCAACAAAAAGGACTCTGGTTGTTGTTTTTTAAAAGTACTTTAAAACTTTTTTTCCCCAATTCATTTTGAATTATTTCCCAATGCTCTTTTACCGTTTTACAGGTCCACCACACATGAAAGAACGTTCCCTCAACCTCATTGCAAGGAAGTCTATTCTCCCTCTGTCTGCCCAGAGTTTGAGTGAGCAGGTTGTGCTCACTCAGCACTGAGAAAGATGCACCCTCCTCATTCAAAGCATCAAAGAAGAATCAAAGAATTATGGATTTTGAAGGAACCACAAGGGTCATCTAGTCCAACCCCATGCAATGCATGAATCTCTTGCCCAATGTGGGGCTCAAACCTACGACCCTGAGATTAACAGTCTCATGCTCTCCTGACTGAGCTATCCCAGGGGATTTTGTGCATTGTTTGCCTCACGCCTGGCTATACAGCAGAGTCCACTTGAGGAATGCTGAAAACCTTTTAGCTTCTTAGTGTCAGATCTAGTGCAGTCCTTATTTTTGTTCATACCCCCCTCTGTTTCAAGAGTTTTTTGTAATTGTGATGCTTCAGGACACACACGCAAAAAAAGATCATTAAATATTGTCAGCTCTTTTCTCCCCACCCTATTCTGTCTGATTTAACCTTTCTCTCTCTTTCTTTCTCTCTCACTTCACCTCCCTCCCACTTGGCTTCACCTCCCTCCCACTTGGCTTCACCTCTCTCCCACTTGGCTTTCCAGCCACCGAAACGCCCGAGCCAGCCATCGCCCCCTACAGGCAGTATCGCGGCACCACATGGACCTACCCCGAGATCATAGACCTGCTGGTCATTTGGCGCGAGCGGGAGATCCAGCAGGAGCTGCAGCGGAGCCACCGGAACATCGAGACTTTCCAAGTGGTGGCCGGCAAGATGGCACAGAGAGGCCACAAGCGCTCTGCCCTGGAGTGCCGCTCCAAAATCAAGACTCTGAAGAGGGACTACCGGATAGCCAAGGCCAACAACTCCCCGGGGAAAGGACATTTGGCCTGGCTCTTCTACGACCAGCTCGATCACCTATTGGCCAACGAGGCGGACGTCCCGCCCCCGGAGGTGCTGCCCGTCTTGAGCCGCCGCGGGGCGTCTGTCGCCGACTCGATGTCTCAGTGCTCCACCGAGGAGGAAGCTGCGGCAGAGGGGGCTAGAGCGGGCAGCCAGGAGACGTTGGCTCTAAGGACGCGGTTGCCCCCCCAGGTCCCCAGCCTGGGGGGCGGCTTCCCTGTACCGTACATAAAGGAGGAAGCCCCCGACGAAATGCCTGTGATGTCTCCCACGGGTCAGTGGCGGCATTTGGTGTCTGAGGAGAGCCGTGTGGAATGAGGTTTTCGAAATAGCCTTTAAAAAAGAAAGGAATCCCTGGGGGACAGTGTCTTTTTTTTATTTCCGTGCATTTAGATTCCGCCTTTTCTTCCAAGGAGGCCGAGGTAGCATACATGGTTGTCCTCCTCACTTAATCCCCCACAACAACCCTGCGAAGTAGGTTAGGCTGAGAGCCTGTGAGTAGTCCAAGGTCAATGTCATTGAGCTTTGTGGCAGAGTGGGGATTTGAACCCGGGTCTCAGTGCTTTTCCTGTAGGGAAAAAAGTGCCAGTACTCACCAGGAAGTCGTTGCAGTAAATGCCACACTTTTAGTCAGTTCTTTTTGTCTAGGGAAAAAGAGTGCCAGTACAGCGCTGTGGTCTAAACCGCTGAGCCTCTTGGACTTGCCGATCAGAAGATTGGGGGTTCGAATCCCTGTGACAGGGTGAGCTCCCGTTGCTCTCTGTCCCAGCTCCTGCCAACCTAGCAGTTCGAAAGCACACCAGTGCAAGTAGATAAATAGGTACTGCTGCGGCAGGAAGGTAAACGGCGTTTCCGTGCGCTCTGGTTTCCGTCAAGGTGTTCCATTGTGCCAGAAGCAGTTTAGTCTTGCTCGCCACATGACCCGGAAAGCTGTCTGTGGACCTTGGCCTGAAAGCGAGATGAGTGCCACAACCCCATAGTCGCCTTTGACTTGACTTAACCGCCCAAGGGTCCTTTAGCTTTACCTTTGAGTACCCCCAGGAAAAAAAGCACGGCCTGGTCTCCCAGGTCTTAGTCTGACACTCTAACCACCTGGACCACTACATTGACTTTAATGTGTGTTCCGCTTTTCACCCAAGAAGCGCTGATATCCAATGCTAAAATTAGAGGTGTTAAATAACCTGTCCTATACTGAGTTTAGGGGACGCGGGTGGCGCTGTGGGTAAAAGCCTCAGCGCCTAGGGCTTGCCGATCGAAAGGTCGGCGGTTCGAATCCCCGCGGCGGGGTGCGCTCCCGTCGTTTGGTCCCAGCGCCTGCCAACCTAGCAGTTCGAAAGCACCCCCGGGTGCAAGTAGATAAATAGGGACCGCTTACCAGCGGGAAGGTAAACGGCGTTCCGTGTGCGGCTCTGGCTCGCCAGAGCAGCGATGTCATGCTGGCCACGTGACCCGGAAGTGTCTCCGGACAGCGCTGGCCCCCGGCCTCTTGAGTGAGATGGGCGCACAACCCCAGAGTCTGTCAAGACTGGCCCGTACGGGCAGGGGTACCTTTACCTTTTATACTGAGTTTTGGATGCTAATAGCTGAAATTCCTTCATTGTTCAGGAATCCTTCTAACTCTCCAGTTCTGTGATTCTGCGAGCGTGGCTAACTGCCTAATAATAATAATTCATTTATAACCTGCCCTCTGGCTGGGTTGCCCAAGCCACTCCAGGCGGCTTCTAAGACATGAAAACACAATAAAGCATCAAACATTAATAGTAACAATCTGATCCAATATAAAAGTTGCAATGACAAAGCAACGTTCAGCAATCCATCAGAATCTAACAGTAAAACAGTAAAATTAAACATCAGCAAATAGTAATTAAACAGTTCACCCACAATAAAGAATTCCCAATCTACAATCAATAAAAGTAACAGCAAAATACCGCAAAACACAAAAACCATGTTAAAGGATCAAATTGAGAAACTAAGGAGCACAACTTATAAAACTGTTTTTAAAAAATATCCCTGAACTCCTCTCTTCCCAGCTGCTGCTGCTGCTGCTGCTGTTGTTCTCAAAGTCATAGTCTGGGAAGGGCTGGTTGGGGCCAGGCAGATGGAAAAGCTATTACCTGATGAGGAACAGAAAGTCTCTCCTCACCCCAGCACTTTTGCACCATAAGGGTAAATTAAAAATGACACACTGTTGCTGTGAAAGGTCAAAGCTACTGTGGCATTTGGAAGGCTAAATCCATTTACCGTGGCATAATTGCTGCTTTTGCAGCGTACATCTAGTTAAGCAGACCAAAGCCTGCGAAAAAAGTGGAATAACTTGGTCTTCAACATGCCGCAGGACTCCAGAGAACCACTGTTGGGTAGTGGTTAGGAAGGCATGTTGTGATGGGAGACGGCAGGGTTCGAATCCCCAGGAAGCTCACGAGGTTTTTGCGAAGATAAAATTGAGTGGTGGGGTGACAACCATGTGCTGCCTGGAGCTCCTTGAAGAAAAGTAGGGTGTCTGTGTATATCCTCCTCTCCTTTGCTGCAGTCATTATAAGCATGTAGATCCAAGCGTGTGATTTTGTCGGTGTGCCGCTTGGCTTTCATCCCTCTCCCATAATGCACTGCTGCTTGGCCAGTGTGTTGCTGGTGGTGCACATTAGCTACCATGAGATGTACAGGGACACGGGTGGCGCTGTGGTCTAAACCACTGAGCCTCTTGGGCTTGCCGATCAGAAGGTTGGTGGTTCGAATCCCTGCGATGGGGTGAGCTCCCGTTGCTCCGTCCCAGCTCCTGCCAACCTAGCAGTTCCAAAGCACACCAGTGCAAGTAGGTACCGCTGCGGCGGGAAGGTAAACAGCATTTCCGTACGCTCTGGTTTCCATCATGGTTTCCTGTTGCGCCAAAAGCAGTTTAGTCCTGCTGGCCACATGACCCGGAAAGCTATCTGCACGGACACATGCTGGCTCCGTCGGCCTGAAAGCGAGATGAGCGCCTCAACCCCATAGTCGCCTTTGACTGGACTTAACTGTCCAGGGGTCCTTTACCTTTTACCATGAGATGTAGTGACAGCCGGCCAGCTTAGACTGGTTCACTGGGGAAATTCACGGAGGATTAAAAAAGACACCAGTGACTACCTGCCACAATGGCTCCGTAATACCTCCAGCGCTACAGACAGTCATATCCAAAGTAGTGATAAAACCTTGCAAGAGCACAGCTACTTCCACTTGCGCAGTGAGACTTCCCACCCCCACAGTGTGCTCCCTAAATCTGTTCTGGGGTTGCCTCCAAGCCTCCAGAGCAGATTTGGGGAGAGCATGAAGCACGTGCTCTGCAGGAGGCGAGAGGGAGCAAGTCCTCTTGCATCGGCGCATGTCCTTCCTCTCATGCAGTTATTTAGTTATAAAAGGACGCAGGTGGTGCTGTGGTCTAAACCACTGAGCCTCTTGGACTTGCTGATCAGAAGGTTGGCGGTTTGAATCCCCACGACGGGGTTAGCTCCCATTGCTCTGTCCCAGCTCCTGCCAACCTAGCAGTTCGAAAGCACGCCAGTGCAAGTAGATAAATAGGTACCACTGCAGCAGGAAGGTAAACAGCGTTTCCATGCGCTCTGGCTTCCGTCACGGTGTTTCATTGCACCAGAAGCGGTTTAGTCCTGCTGGCCACATGACCCAGAATGCTGTCTGTGGAGAAACGCCGGCTCCCTCGGCCTGAAAGCGAGATGAGCGCCACAACCCCATAATTGCCTTTGAATGGACTTAACTGTCCAGGGGTCCTTTTTACCTTATTTAGTTATGGGATGTTTAGTCAGAATCTCCTTTCTTGTAACTTGAATCATTGGTTTTGGTCCTACCCTCTAAAACGTGTCCAGAGGAGGGCAACCAAAATGGTCAAAGGCCTGGAAACGATGCCTTATGAGGAACGGCTAAGGGAGCTGGGCATGTTTAGCCTGGAGAAGAGGAGGTTAAGGGGTGATATGATAGCCATGTTCAAATATATAAAAGGATGTCATATAGAGGAGGGAGAAAGGCTGTTTTCTGCTGCTCCAGAGAAGCGGACACGGAGCAATGGATCCAAACTACAAGAAAGAAGATTCCACCTAAACATTAGGAAGAACTTCCTGACAGTAAGAGCTGTTTGACAGTGGAATTTGCTGCCAAGGAGTGTGGTGGAGTCTCCTTCTTTGGAGGTCTTTAAGCAGAGGCTTGACAACCATATGTCAGGAGTGCTCTGATGGTGTTTCCTGCTTGGCAGGGGGTTGGACTCGATGGCCCTTGTGGTCTCTTCCAACTCTATGATTCTATTCTATGAAAGCGGGAGCAAAACAAGCTTGCTCCATCCTCCACGTGGCAGCCCTTGAGATATTTGAAGATGGATATCCTGTCTCCTCTCTTCCAGGATAAACATACCCATCTCCTTCAACCGGTCCTTCATAAGGTCCTTGGTTGTCTTTAGCTGCCAGCCTAGTGCTTGAGGACAAGACTGTTATGTTCTTGAACTCGATAATCAAAATGCAATGGCTGGGTTAATGCCCAAAGGATTGCGGTGTGTTTTGTATATGATGATCATTTCATTCTTATGCTTTCACACATCTGCCCCCAAGCATTTCCTCAGCCCATTCTGCCCAACAATATGCATACGTTGTGGTTTTTGATACAGTAGATCAGAAGCAGAGGGGGGCTAGGGTTGTTGCTGTGGACGAAGGCCAGCTATGCTCCTGAAATTAATCAATGTTCTGTCTGTCTTCAGGAACAGCAGAAGGCAGCAGTCCAGCTCCACCTCTGCTGTCTACTCCCTGCGATAAACCGGGCAGCTCTGCCTCAACAGTAGGTAAGAACAGAACAAAACGAGCAGATAAGAACTGCCAATTCATGAGGTTCATCGTTTGAATGACTGGATGTAAATTAGATGCTCGCCTGTGGCAAGGAAGAATTCTTTCTAATAGGTGGAGTTATGTTAATAGGTAGCCTTATTAATTTATGAATCGCTTTTTACATACTGTCTCAAGGCAATTGGCAGGCAGGCCACAGAAGGAGCGGAACACACACACACAAAAAAGCTTTTAAAAGCTGCACCAAAAACCAAGTTGACGTTTTCGTTTTGTATTGTTCAACCTAAGGCCGTTTCTTCCAGGTGGAGAATTGTGTCGAAACAAATTCGTCTTCAGTGTTTCCAGAAATGTCATTCGTTTCCAGAAAGTACTGATAGCGAGCGCTGTTCGAGGGAACAGGGATGCTGTTCGAGGGAACAGCCTTGCAAGTTGGTCTGCAAAGGTCACTCGCCCATGGTCACCTGCAGGAGCTTGCCGGGCCACACAAAACTATGTTAGCCATTTGCAGCCCACAAGCCAAAGCATAGCTCTTCCCTGTTGGGTTAAAGGTAAAGGTAAAGGTACCCCTGCCCGTACGGGCCAGTCTTGACAGACTCTATGGTTGTGCGCCCATCTCACTCAAGAGGCCGGGGGCCAGCACTGTCCGGAGACACTTCCGGGTCACGTGGCCAGCGTGACATCGCTGCATCTGGCAAGCCAGAGCCGCACACGGAAACGCCGTTTACCTTCCCGCTATAAAGCGGTCCCTATTTATCTACTTGCACCCGGGAGTGCTTTCGAACTGCTAGGTTGGCAGGCGCTGAGACCAAACAGGAGCGCACCCCGCCGCGGGGATTCGAACCACCGACCTTTCGATCGGCAAGTCCTAGGCGTTGAGGCTTTAACCCACAGCGCCACCCACGTCCCCCCTCCCTGTTGGGTTACCAGGATGCATTTTTCTTTCTTGCCGCAAGCAACCAGGCAGGTAGGTACCACAACAAGCCGACTCACAAGGGATGGATAGGAGCCAACACGTTTGTCTTTCCTTGGCACTGTGGCTCAGTTGAACCAACCCATGGTAGAGAGAGCTTACAGATCAATTTTTTAAAAAAATCAAGCTACACCAAAAAACGACACAACACAAAAGGAAAATAGGAGGAGGGAGGAGGAGGATGAAAAGCAAACTCATGCACTGCTTCTTAAAGTTAACGCTGAAAATCCGAATCATGTTGACTCAGAAAGTCCCACTTTGTTCGATGGGACTTGCTGTCGCGGAAGTGAGTTCTAAGCATAAGTTTGTTTCCTGCTTTTCAGACGGGGCCATAACCCCCTCCCCAAGTCCCTTGCCTGACCCCGCCAGGTCGTACGCCGCAGAGCGCCTCGCCAACATCCGGAAGCGGAAGAGGAAAAACAGGCAGGATCTGGCGCTGGAAATCACCCACGCGGCCGACAGAAGGGTGCAGGCGGCCACCGACCGGATCCTGGCGGCCCTGGGCGAGTACACGAAGGCCGATCTGGAGGAGCGGGAGCGGGACCGCGTGGACACTGAGCAGATCATTGCGCTCATGAACCGCCAGACGGAACTGCTAGAGTCACTTGTGCGGAAGCAGGCAGAGGCACAGGCTCCCCCGGCCCCGGCCTTAACCCGGCAGGCCCGTTTACCCCGGCATGGGCAGCCCGGTCACGCGGCAGACGCTTCTCCCTTGCGCTTGGGGTCCACCAGGCGGTCCATGGCGAGGGCGAGGTACCGGAGGTGACTCCCGAGACGGCTGTGGCGGCGGTGTGGCTGTGGCGACGCTCTTTGGCTGTAGTTCCGCTAGCGTGCGGGACATCCGGGCTGCGTTTGTAACGGGTTGTAGTTTTCTTTTTCAGGAATTCAAAAAACCTTTTTGCAATTAATGATTTTGGCTGGCTAGTTGTGTAATTAGGAAGGCGGGGTTGGGTGGGAAAAAAGTTGGGGGTGGGGTTCTCCCCCCCCTCCCCTTTCTTTCCCCACATTACTAGTTCTGGTAAATAAGGGGTGTGAGAAAAATGTTGTAGCACAGAAACTCACGTGCCACTCAACACAAAACCATTTTGTGCCATCTTATTTCTCTATATGTATACACACAAACACACACACATAGATAGATAGATAGATAGATAGATAGATAGATAGATAGATAGATAGATAGATAGATAGATAGATCTATATGTCACATATCTGGGACCTTAGGGTGAAGGTTTTTGTTGGCATCTGTCTGTCTCGGAAGACAATGGAGAAGTGCGCCTTTTGGGGCAAAGTCAAACTTTTGGAGAGTCACAGCGCCTGCTGTGGCTGTATAGGCCGATACAGGAGAGACATGTTTTGTTGCAGCTGGGGCATATGAAGGCGTCTGGTTGTGCTGTTGCCGATGCACCATGGCGCATCTTCTCTCTACACGACATGTCTGCCTCCAGGCACATTTTTACAATGACGGATGGCCTGGAGTCCATGGATAGGGAAAAGTTGGTGGCACAAAGGATCTCAGATGCACCTCTTAGTGAACACAAAATATGGACTAAAGCAGGAACAGCCCCCTCCCACAATCTGTCTGAGTGGGTGGGAGCCAACATATATAAACCTACAGGCCATATCTTCAATGTATGGTTCCTCTATGCCGCTTCTACTGTGGGATCCATACGCAGGAAGTTGTAAGCCCCATGCTGGAGAATGACTTGCTAGGATAGGTTAAAAGAATAGGCTGGCGTTTGAAATAACCCCCAGCCATTGGCTAAGCTGCTGCAACATCATGGAATGTTGTCGAGTATTCTAAGTGCAGAAGGGGAAGTGATAGTTACATACTGTTGAATAATCACTTGGGAAGGAAATGAAGAATGGATTCGGCTGGAAAAAAACTCCACGTATGTGCGTGTTGAAAAGAGGGGTGGCGGTGTTAGAACTGGGGGGGGGGGGAGAGAAGAAGACACTGGGAGGCAGGGTTGAGCAAGGTTGCTGTGGACGAGAAAGAGGATGGACAAGGCAGGAAAACAGGTTCTGAGATGGCCTTTCTCAGGGGTCAGCAAACTTTTTCAGCAAGGGGCCGGTCCACTGTCCCTCAGATCTTGTAGGGGGGCGGACTATATTTTTTTTTGGGGGGGGGGAGAATGAATCCCTATGCCCCACAAATAATCCAGAGATGCATTTTAAATAAAAGGACACATTCTACTCATGTAAAAACACGCTGATTCCTGGACCGTCCGCGGGCTAGATTTAGAAGGCGATTGGGCCGGATCCTGCTCCCGGGCCTTAGCTTGCCTACCCATGGCCTTTCTGCAAGCTTCTGGTTATGGGTGGTGCTATGTCAGAGAAGTGGTAGATTTGTCCTTTGCAAAAGGGTTTGGAGGTGGCGGAGGTGAAGAGACCTTGTCAGACGGGTCTGCCTGGCTGGGTCTGTTTGCGTGAAGAGGGCTCTTGTTGACACACCCGCCTCTTCTTTGAGAATGGCCTGGAGCATCTTTTGTTTTCTGGGATGCAAGAACCAGCTGTTCCTACCTAGACACATTATAACAAACAGCCTCCACACTGGGGGGGGGGGGCTCCTATGAACCATGCAGACCATAACATCCCTGCCCTCCTTCCTTGGTATCATTTCTAAGTACCGTATTTTTCGCCCTATAGGACGCACTTTTTCCCCTCCAAAAATGAAGGGGAAGTGTGTGTGCATCCTATGGGGCGAATGCAGGCTTTCAGGAAGCAGCCTGCAGCCCGAAACCCGGGGGGCGCAGCGGGGGGCGCCCCGGGCTTCGGGCAGATATTCGCAAGCCTGGAGAGCCCGGCGGGAGTTCCCGCCAGGCTCCCTAGGCTTGCGGATAGCAGCCTGTTCTGGGGTCGGGGGAAGCTCGGGCTTCCCCCACCCCAGGCTGGCAAGCTCCGGGTTGCGCAACCTCGCCTTCGCTTCCGGACCCCCAGCCCCGAGGCTAAAAACGAAGCCAGGACAGCTAGCAGGATCCGTCCTGCTTGCTGTCATGGCTTCTTTGCTTTTTGGGGCTCGGGGGAAAAATAATAATCCCCCCCCCTTTATTTCCCCCATAAAAAAATAAGTGTGCCCTATGGGCCGGTGCATCCTATGGGGCGAAAAATACGGTATTGCTGCAGAAGCATTTCTGTACTGGAAATTCAGACACAAAGCTTCACATCCCCCACGGCTGCCAGGTGAACATGGCACTGCAAGACTCATCATCCCTAAGGAGGGTGGGGTTGAAGTCCAGTAACATCCCAAAGGCTACAGGTAGGGGAGAATTCGTCTCCCATGAGACAGTGATGGGATGATTGGTGGGAGAATTCGTCTCAGAGCTAAACATTTATCGTCTGTTACGATCTGACTGCTGCAGCCAGTTGAAAGCCACTCGTGGCAAGTCAAACGTTTTGGCTCCCAAACGCTGCAAACCTGGAAGTGAGTGTTCCGGTTTGCGAAGGTTCTTCGGAACCCGAACATCCGATGCGACTTCTGCAACTTCCTGCAGCCAATCGGAAGCAGCGCTTTGGTTTTTGAACGTTTTGGAAATCGAGACTCCGTTCGACTTCCAAGGTACCACTGTACCAGCATTGATCCAGCATTGCAGGGGGTTGGGTTAGATTACGCTCCGGTTGTCTTCCATCCCTACAATTTTATGATTCTATGGAAGTGTGTACCTGGGGGGGGGGGGTAAAGTCAAACCGCTGGAGAGTCACAGCGCCTGCTGTGGCTGTAGAAACTGATGTAGGAGAGACCTGTTTTGTTGCAGGTGGGGCAGATGAAGGTATCCAGTTGTGCCGCTGCAGATGCCCCATGGGCTCCTTCCAGCGGTCACCCCCCCCCCTCTGTTGATGCCTGACCTGTCTGAGCAGAGCAGGCTGATTCTTGACCAAGTTGATCACCCTGGCCCTGCACCCATGGCAATCCCGGGGTCTGGAGGAACTGCATGAAGGGAGCCCTAACCATTAGGTCCAGTCATGACTGACTCTGGGGTTGCGGTGCTCATCTCGCTTTATTGGCCAAGGGAGCCGGCATACAGCTTCCAGGTCATGTGGCCAGCAGGACTAAGCCGCTTCTGGCAAACCAGAGCAGCGCACGGAAATGCCGTTTACCTTCCCGCCAGAGCGGTACCTATTTATCTACTTGCACTTTGACGTGCTTTCAAACTGCTAGGTTGGCAGGAGCTGGGACCGAGCAAAGGGAGCTCACCCCGTTGCGAGGATTTGAACCGCCGACCTTCTGATCGGCAAGTCTTAGGCTCTGTGGTTTAACCCACAGCGCCACCATCTCCTGGTCATAGGTGCCGGCTAACTGGGTGCCCAGGCACCCACAATTTTCAGTGCCAGGGTCATGCATGCTGCATGGCACCCACGGCCTGGGGCACCCACGATGGCGGGGCCACCCCTGGTGCCAGGGCACAGTCATGATGCCTAATTGAAGCAAGAACTGCATCGCAGGCACAGTCTTGGTTAAGAAGCCGACCCAGAATCACAACTCCCGGGAGCAGGCAGGCTTTAGGACCCTGAGGGGAGCTGACACGTAAGAGATCTTCGGGCGCAGTCGCCACAGGAAGAGGATCTCCTCGGTCCCGTGGCTGTCGGAGGAGGGTTTGCTGCCGATCCTTGGATTCGTGTCTCTTCTTGCACGCTGCACGCGCGTTTCCTGCGTGCATTTGCAGAATCCGCGAGACCTCCAGGAAGTGGGGGATCCCAGTAGATCCCAGTCTTCTCTGCTGCTTACAAGGCGGAAGAATCGTGCGGGGCGGATTTTAGAAACCCAACTTTGCCCGGAGAGCCGATCCGATCCTGGGGGAGAATCTGAGATCTCCCAGATGGAGCGACCAAGAAAGATGATTCCTGTGGTCCGCAGCTTGCGATAAAGGAGCCTGGCGCCTCCCTAAATGCAAACGGGAGGATGGTGTAAGGAAGACGCCGACCAGGCTGGATCAAGTGGGAATCCGGTAGGCGGAAGGTGGCTCGAGATCTGTTGAGATCTGGATGGTTTGCAGTAGATCGGCAAGGGCTTCCTGCGCTCGGTCGTCCCATCAGCAGTGAAGAAATGATGTTCTTCACCTAAACATAAATTCCTGAAATGGAAAAAAAAAATAATCCCTAATCAGGAATAGACTTCCGCGTGAAATTCAGCTCCGGCTCAATTCATTTCTGGCCCTGGAAATAAATTACTGCTGCTCAGAAACACAAGGTAACTGCACCGGCGCCCTTAAGTGGTTTTGGATTATAGCTCACATCCTCCCTGACCTTTGGCAGTGCAGACTGGGGCTTCTGGGAGTCGTAGTTTGAAGTATTAAGAAATCACCACACAGGCTGTCCCTGCCCTAGATCAGAGTTTCCCAAACTTGGGTCTGCTGCTGTTTCTGGACTACAGTTCCCATCATCCCTTACCCCTGGGTCCTGCCAGCTAAGGATGATGGGGGTTGTAGTCAAAAAAAATAATAGAAACCCGCATTTGGGAAAACCGCACCCTGGATGCCTTCTGCATCTGGCCCTGGTTGGAAAATCTTGGGTCTTCTAGGTAAAAATAAATAGGATATCAGACAAACCTGAAGACTGACTGCCTCTGATTTAGCCATGCACTGTGTGCAGCTCCACCCAATGGCAAGTCTCCCAAGTCAGGAAAGGAAGACCTGTGGCTCTCCTGGCACTGTGGGACTCCAGGTCCCATCAGCCACAGGCAATGTAGCTAGTGACCAGGGATGGTGGACGATGTTGCCCCCAGCTATCCACCTGCCCCATCCCTGCCATAGGCAGGTCCTAAGCCAGGCACCCCCAAACTCGGCCCTCCAGATGTTTTGGGACTACAGTTCCCATCATCCCTGACCACTGGTCCTGTTAGCTAGGGATGGTGGGAGTTGTAGTCCCAAAACATCTGGAGGGCCGAGTTTGGGGGTGCCTGTCTTAAGCC